ATTTTCCCCCCTCTTATAACCTCTGTGTCAATCTCCTCTACCTGATTCTTTGTGCCTAGGAGTTGGTGGAAAAATCTTATCATTTCCCCAGCAATCCCTTCAGTGTCTTCAATCCTATCCCCCTTATTGTTGTAAATACATCCAATATGATTTTGAATCTTTCTTTTCTTGATCCAGGCATGGAACATTCTAGAGTTCAAGTCGCCCTCTTTGATCCAAGTTTGTTTCATAATCTAGCATTGCATTTTATGAGAGTTCTTCAATTTCATTTGAAAATCTGCAATCAGTTTCCTCTCCTCTGTTATTAGTGTGGTATTAAAAGGATCATTCCTCAGCTCCTTTTGGATTCTAGCTACTTCCTCTCTCGCCAAATCAAATTGATCTTGTATATTACTAAACTTCCTCCTGTGCAGTTTCCTCAGAGGTTGTTTCAGCATCTTTAGCTTTTGGGTAAGCTGATACATCTTCCTTCCTTCTATATTAGAGTTCCAGACATCCTTCAATATCTTAGGGAACTCGGGGTTTGTGATCCACATGTCACAAAATCTAAAGATCTTTTTGGCACATGAATAATCCACTGGGATTAAGATAAGCGGTGAATGGTCAGATATACCTTCCTCCAACACTCTAGTTTTTGCATTATTGTTGATCAACCATTCATTATTTGCAAAAGCCCAATCTAACTTTGATATAATTCTGTTCTCTCCCATTTGTTTATTTGTCCAAGTGTAGTAGGCTCCTTCTTTAGGGATTTCTTCCAATTCACAGAAATTTATGCATTCTCTGAAATCCAAAGTTTCCTCCAGGCTAATTTGCAGGCCACCCTTCCTATCGTCAGTTCCAAGTATAGTATTAAAGTCCCCCATTAAGCACCAAGCTCCACTAGTCTGTGCATACATGCCCTTTAAGAACTGCCATAAGCTCTTCCTTGCTCCATTATCATTGTGTCCATAGATAAAGGTAACATCCTCAGTATGAGTTTTGCCTATCCATCTGACTCTACAATGAACTGCTTGGTCACATGCTGCTAGTATGTTAACTTCAGCTTTCCTCTTATCCCATATAACCCAGACTCTCCCGAGGGGATGATACTCATTATTAATAAAGTATTCCCAGTTTTCTAGGAACTTCTCCTTTATTTTGGCATACCTATCCTGCCTTATTTTGGTCTCCAGAACTCCCATCAGAGCAATAGAGTGTTTATTAATAAAGCGTTTTAATTCTACTTGTTTATTTGGGCTATTAAGCCCCCTTATATTCCAGCAACTTATCATGATAAGAAAGGATAGTGTCCCATATAAGGGCCTTCCATCAAGGATTTATGTATCTGAATACCATAAGCCTTCTCATACTCCTGGTCTTCCAGATATAGTTTCCTATTAGCTTTCTTCTTACTGACCTCTGTGAATTCCCCTTCTTCCTCTACAGTATCCAAGTCCTTATCAGCAGGTATTGCTTTGTCTTCTTCTTCTTTTTGTGCCTCTTCCTTTCCCTCTTCTTTTGCTTCTTCTTCCTTATTTGGGATATCTTTTCTTTTCCATACCATCTTTTTCCTTTCACCTGTTTTCTTCCTGCACAAATTTTCTCGATGCCCAATTGCTTTACAGTGAGTACATGAGATAGGGTACCACTCATATTTCACAATCTGTGTTATGATCCTTCCTTTATCATCTTCAAACTGTACTTCTTCAGGAAAATGTTGCTTCATACCAACCTCTATCTGTATTCTAGCATAATTCAATCTGGTTTTCCCAATTGTTGTTTTGTCAGCTTTAATTGGGTTACCTATAAGGGTTCCAATCTTGCTTAGGCCAGAGATGCTCCAAAATTTAGGATCCAAATCTGGCAGTTGGATCCATATGGGTATATCAGTCAGAGCATCTAGGTTCACCCTACTTCCTGGCTGCCATTTCCTCACATATACTGGTTTGTTATCAAAGAAATAGTAGCTTTTCTTCAAAATTTCCTCAGTATCTTCAGTTCTACCAAATTGAAACACAAATTGCCCAGGTTTGAGCATAGTAACGTCAAGAATATCTGCCTGTTTCCATATCCTTTTAGCGAATCCTTCGACAACCTCGATTGGAGGATTTGCACCTAGGATACACATCAGTATTGCAGTTTCCCATTGCAAAAATGACGAAGCATTTTGAAAAAATTATCTATAAATAAATAGTACTATTTAGTTTTATCATTTTTAAAATTAATTTACATTAGTAAAAAAAATTGAAATTGAAGATTTGTTGAATTTATTAAACACAAAGTAAAAAAAGAATATAATTTCGGACAACTGCCCGTCCAGCGCCACAGCTAAAAATCCACCGGAGTCCGGACATGCCGCAATAGAATTCTGCCGGGCGCCCCTCCATTAATTTTCTTCCGGCGCGGCGCGTTCCCCCTCCCCACTGTAGATGGCCTAATTCATAAGGTAAAGTGTATTGTCAAACACTTAAAATTATATTTTAATAAAACAAATATTATAAATTAATTTTAAATACACTCCAAATGGCGTGTAGGAATATATACTCCGTAATAGTGAAAAAGCTTTTGTATGAGAGCAATATACTTCCTCCGTCCGGAAATGTTCTTCTTATTTGACTTTTCACGGTCTCCAATATTGCACTTTGACCATTAATATCTATATTTATACATAGATATACTCCTGTATTTTATAAAAATTTGATATTTGAAAACTACAATTAATTATGAATATATTGATATTAAATTTATATCATTATACAATGTGTTTTTTCTACAAATCGTAGTCAAAGTTTATAAACTTTGACCAAGAAATGTCAAATGTGAAGAACATTTTCGGAAGCATGGAATATACAACTTGGGGCATGTGCAGGTTGTGCGCCCACACCAAAATTTGTTGGTTAAATGAGAATGATTTAATTAATGATAATGACACCCCCACCAATTATTTCATTGCCCATCAAATCTCTCTTTCCCTTTCTTTGTCCCACGTTTCATAATGTTTGTCATTCTTTGAATTAAGTTCGACTAAAACATAATGACTTTCCTAATGTAGGACTTGAATTTTTTTATTTCTTAAATAGGATTTAATAATGACCTTGTGGGTGGAATAATGTCTAGTAATGATGGACATTTAGTTGAATAATGACTACATGATAATGACCAAAGGTCCTACATTGGGAAATAAAAACATATGGTCCTATATTGGGAAAGTCATTATGTTTTGGTCCTATTTAGGTAAATTACTCTTCGAACAATGCGTAAGATTACATGGAGTATTACTTTTAAAATTATTTTAATTACAATTTTTTAAATTCATTTAAATTACAATTTGGTATATAAATAAAAAGTATAATTTATAGTTTTTAAAAGTACACCATGTTATATATTTTAGTGTAATTTGAAAAAATTATTTGACTAATGGTATCATAATAATCATCAAAGAAGTTTGGTGGTGCAGAATACACGCTTCGTTGAGTTTATAATGATAAAAGTCTCGTTTTAACAAGGATTCTAAGGGGGCAACGCCCCTTGGCAGGAGCAGGGTTCAAGGGGCGGCAGCCCTTGTGGGGTCCAAGGGGTAGAGCCCCTGGCTGGGGTAGGTTAGCTCAATTTTTCTTTTTTTGGACAAAATACTATGTTAAAAATTCATTTGAATTTTTAATTTTTGAATTTTTAAAGGAAAATTTCAGAAAAGGATAGCGCCGTTTTTCTCAAATTCACGCAAAGGAACGCGCGTTTTGGATGGGAGACGTGACCGCAACCTTTCTTCCCTTCTGCGGCTCTATAGATTTCGCTGATCCTTGGTCGCAAAAGTTGAGTTTGAAATTTATATCAATCTATACTTGTTCTTGACAAATTTAAGTTTTATGCGATTGATTTTTGGATTGAACAATCAAAATAATCAATCTGAAAGTGTTACACGACTTTCAAATCGTTCCGCGTTATCTTCGTTTTCCCCAACACACCAAATGTTCTTGATAAAGTAACAAAAATATTTTATTTTATCAAATGATCAATGAAAATGTACAAAAAAAATTATCGAAAGATCATAATAGTGACATCAACGAATATTGTGGAATGGAGGAAGTACAAAATTAATTAAAATCTGAATATTGAACTTCTTTGATAAATTAAATTTTCTATTAGAGGGGTAATAACTTTTAATTTAAGATATAAACTCGTATATGGGTCTTATTTATTAAATACTCCCTCCGTCCCTCAGTTTTTGTCCACTTTTGACTTTTGGAACTGTTCATCTAAGTACTTTTACTCATCAAATTCTCTGAATGTGTAAGCCTAAATATAGTCATGTGTGATCTTGTTTGATTTGTCTTAACATATAGATTATTAATATATTATTTCTATAATTTTTTAATATACAAATTACAAGATAAAACGGATTAAAGAAGTGCATTGAATGGTGTGCAAAAATGAAAGTGGACAAAAACTGAGGAACGGAGGGAGTACTCCGTAAAGGAAAAGAAAATTAAGTTCTTGACTTTATACAAAAAGAAAACTTGTACTCGTAATATATATACGGAGTATATATATACACTTCCTACATGCTTATTTGTCCTCCACCCTTTTTTCCACCATTCAATTTTATTTTATTTTTATTTATTTAATTTTTAGTGGGTTTCGGGTGTGGGCCGTGTGGCAACTGGAAGGGTCCAACGGGGAATGGTTTGGGTTAGGTCTGCTCGAATTTTTTTTATTTTGAAAACTATTGCTTTATAATTTTTTTAGTTTTTCCTAAACGGAGTAAAAAATAAAGAATATTCAAATGTGTAAAAAATATATTGTATTCTTAATTGAAAAACTAAAAAATACTCCGGGGTATGAAATTTATTTTGAAATAAATTTTCTGACCCCAACATTACAGAGTGGGAGATAATTGTGTTTATCCCAAAATACATACATATGCGTCCCATCAATCTCTTGTTTTTGTTTTGTTTCGTTAAGAGTAATAATTAAGATAATGACGATTAATCTCATAATCACAAACTAAACAATTGGGGTGAAGAATCTCCTGTCTCGTCGTAACTGTGGCGTGAACCACGTGATTTTGATCTCTTTGTTTCTCTAATGCAAAAGGTTGAAATTCCAACTCCAAGGGCCCCTCAAATCCCGGCCCGAAATAGTAATTAGAAGGTTGTAAATCGAGAACTAAGCGGCCTGTTAGAGGAGGATGTCTTTCTCTACATTCTACAAGTATTTAAGCAACACATTCTTATGGTCTACAAATTTAAGTCGTAGAATGTTGATTCCACATTGAGGATCGAATCTTGTGCCTTGTAGCAATTCTACTCCTTTCGAAACCAACTCGGCCATGCCCGGCCTGCGAGTGATCTCTTTCTTTTTTAATACCCAAGGAGTCGATTAGATTTTCCAACTTGCCTCAAATTAATCACAAGCTTCTAAGATTTATTCGGGTTATGTTTGGTTCAACGGAAAAGAAAATAAAATGAGGTGCAAAGTAACTTTTTATGTTTTGTTAGTGAAAAAAAGAAAAGCAGAAGAAAAAAAATTAAAAGGCAAAATGAGCTAAGAAAATGGAGAAGAATAATTATTGGGATTTGGAACACCCTAAATATTTATGTCCACTAAATAAAATATTCTACTACTAAATATTAGGGTGTATAGTCACCTTCTCACATGTTACATATCAAGTACACTCACTATATTTCTGAGTAATTAAAAATAAAGCTGATAGAATTTGGGATGAGTATGGACATCTGGATTGGGTAATAAGACACTTGGGTTGAACCAAATTAAAAGATTGAATCCAATCGATTAGTTAGTTCAACTCTAGATCTTATATACCGATTATTTTACTCTTAGATTTCCGATGTGGGATGTATTCTAACACTCTCCTTCAAGTGGACAACCGGGCCATTTTGAATCTAACCGGTTGACCACTTGCAAATGAACTCCCATTCCCTTGACTTTTTTTTCGAGCACCAACACCTAAAGGACCACGAGCCGCTGGGTATGGACTTCCAGACGAGCAATTATGTTAAACAAGCCACAGGCCGTTGGGTACAACCTCCATACGAACAACTGGGCTAAAGACTAACGGGCCGCTAGGAATGAACGTCTAGACGGACACCTTGACAAACGAGGTGGGCCAAAACCTGCTCTGATACCATGATAGAATTTGAGATGGGGTACGGACAACTGGATTGGTAATAAGACACTTGGGTTAAACCAGATTAAAAGATTGAATCCAATCGATTAGTTAGTTCAACTCTAGAGCTTATATACCGATTATTTTACTTTTAGATTTCCGATTTGGGATGTACTCTAACAAAAGCGCTCTCAATCGGTGAATGTGAATTTTAGATATTTTCTAGTGGGTATTATATGGGTTGTGAAATTTAAAAGAAAAGACATTACTTTTGAGATCAAACCAGATTAGATCAGATCAAACCAGATCTGATCTGATTTTCAAAAAATCAGATGATATCAGATCAGATCAGGCGAACGGAATGCAGCTTTAATCTGTTTAATATTTGAAATCCGAATACATACTACTTGAAGTATATGTCTATCACTTGTTTGATCTGATTTGATCTAATCTAATCATATATGATCTGATATAATCTGATTACAGTTATATTTAAAGATATTTCTGATCTGATCTAGTCCAATCAAGTAATAAGCAGAAAAAATAAATTTATTCTTTAAATGGTTAGTTGAATGCGAATGATAATCGAATTTTGGGTACTCTATATTACATCATTAAAAAAAGTTTCGTGCTTCCGAGAATCGAACCGATGACCCATCTTCTTAGCTTTAGAAAAGGGGGAAGTCTACTCCGCAATAAATGGTCATCATCAGGGCAAAGAGCAGTCCAGGTTTGTGTGAACTTGTGAATAAGCAGACATCAACACGCATCTCTCTATAACCCCATCATCATCATCTTCTTCTTCTTCTTCATCCTTACCCCTTTCCTTTGATTTGATCACTTCTATCTCAATTTCGATTTTCCTTTCCGTCGAAACATCAATTTCCTTTCCGAACGCCTTTTTCTGTAAATGTGCAGAGCGCACTTCCTCTTCTCATCCCCCATTTTCTGCAATAAAGGTAATCTCATACGCGATTTCATGGTTTTGGGTGTCGGGGTTTCTGCCTTTTTAAAATTCTTTTCCAGTAAATATTCGACCTTTTGATGGATAAGGAATGGGTACTAGGATTGTTTTGTGGAAACCCAGGTTGAGGACGGATTTTTATTATTTTTTATAGCAATTTTTTTTTTAAAGTGGCTTTTTTTTAAAAGCGAAAAAGTGGCTTTCTTTTGGAAAAAACATATTTCTATGCACATCTTCTGCAAAATAATTCTCTTCATCTTGTTTGTTGCTGTAAAGATCTGACTTTGATATATGAACTACTTTGATTTCAACATTTATTGTTTTTTTCAATCATTGATAAGAACACTTATTTTCCGGTTCTTTTTGTCTAAAACAATGTTTATAAGTGGGTTTTCTGTATGAATGATCGGATTGCAATTTAATTGATTTTTGAGGTAAAATTTGATTTTATTATCTTTTCCGCCGGGAAAAGAAGTGATTATTTAGCTAATGTTTGGTCAAATCGTGGGAAATTTAACTAAAAAAAACAAAAATAGTTATAAATAACTCAACTTGTGGTTTCATTTCATGAGAATTGTCAACATTTGGGACCTCATTTCCCATCTTTTTGCCATATTATTGGGTAATGCTTCTTTGCTGTCATTTTGTACTTTAGGTCCAAGTTGAATTCTGTTGACTTATAATAGCAAATGGTTTAGGTTGGTTTCTTGTAATTCATTGAATGAAGCTGGAGTTTCTGTCAAGGTCCCTTTGAGTCCTTTGATCTATTCATACTTTGTTTATTAGTCCCCCACCCACTCAAATCTTCATTCTTGATCTGTGCTTTAAAGTACATTCACTCTTCTTGTTTTTTCCTTTGTGGTGTTTCTTTGTTTTGGATTTCTGATTATTTAGTTTCTTGGATCAGGAGAAACAATCTGTTAATTGAACACCAGCCATCTTCATTTGAGCTTTGATTCTTCCATCTGAAAGTGTTTTTCTGTCTTGAACGCCGAGATTTTGGTTTCCCTATAGAGAATGGCAATAACATTCCCATCTTTGCCTTGGTGGCCATGGAGTGGGAAACCACAAGAACCCAAGATTACTTTGACCCCATTGCCCGAATCCGGACTGTGGGAATCGGATAAAGTGAAGTTTCCTCTTGATCGCCGGCAATATACTTCTAGAAGGGTGAAGAGAAAATGGAGCAGCAGAGAGGAGAGGAAGATTGATAAAGAGTATGACATTGTTGTTGTTCCATCTGATGGTGGGTGTGTGTCGGGGTCCGAATCCGACGATTCTGATTGGTCAATTGGATGGATGGAACCTCATGGTTCGGGCTTCCTCAGCGATGATGATTCAGATGATAGCTTTGCTGTCTTGGTTCCTTGCTATGGGCATGTTGGGAACTTTGCAAATAATTTGCAAGAACAGTTTCTCAGCAACATTCCCAACATTTCAGGTATGTATTCCACAGGTACAAAATCATTGTAAATAGTATATTATTATACAGGTTGTGTTCAATTCTTACATTTAAAGTCTGCACACTAAATATTTGATATCATTTCCTTTCGTTTTAAACTGGCTCGAAAAGAATTTCTAATTACATTCAGTGAAAGAAATCGGCATAAACTTCCACCATACAATTTCCCTTTTTATTAAACTCTGTGAAAAGGCAAATGAGGACTTCTTTTAGGGACGAAAAGAGTATTAATTATTGAATGAGCTTTTGCTCATGAATGCCAAGTATTTCTGCAAAAATTTCGAGGTTAGATTGGATATGGTTTTAGACAGTCCTTTTCAACTTGTTTTCACTTCAGTTAGAACTTCATAGTTTGGTTCACCACTTTTATGCTAGCAATTAAAACTAAATCATTCAACTTTCAGTTCAATAAGTTTTAGTCGAAAAGAATATCATAACATCACAACCATCCATTTCTATTCATTTCCTTCAATTCTTTTTACATTGTTCTCCCTACATTTTCTCCTCTTAGCATCATCTGAAAATCCGAGAAAGAATAACCGATTCAGTTCAATCTTTTAAGTGCCTTATAACCCAGTCAGAGTGACCCTAATGCGTTCTATCACGTACGGTTTTGGCTTACTCTGCAGAAAACAAGACATATATGGAGCAGTGGCTTTCTTCGCTTCAGAATATGTGACATCTTGTGGCCACGCGGGTGCCCGAATGGTTTTATCACTGTGGACCGGATGAAATAATGTCACAAAAGCTTGGTTGTTAATGCAATAAAAAAAAGAGGGATGTGATGAAGATGAAGAACACCAAGACATAAGAAGTGGAGTGAAACTATTGTAAGTACAAGTGATGAATTAATTATATGGTATGGTGTCATGTCTCTCAATATATATATATATATATATATATATATATATATATATATATATATATATATATATATATATCTAAGATGTGGCATTAAAGCATGCTTACAACATTCTTTTGGAGTATATATTCTTCTTATTATTACTAGTAATATATGATGGGAGGGAGGGAGGGAGGGATGGGTATCCTTTGGCTTTTTATTATTGTGGATTTGTGGAATCTGTTGTAAGTATAACTCTAAGTAGCAGTTTGTTTGCTGATTATGATATTCTAATGTAAATAACTTTATGGATATGTTGTCTCATTCCATTGGCATTAAATAAATAGTTATTCTAATGTAAATAACTTTATGGATATGTTGTCTCATTCCATTAGCAATACATAAATAGTTGTGTCTAATTTGGTAAAACCAGATGCATGTTTATTAAAGTGTGTGTGTTATTTTATTATTATTATTATTATTATTATTATTATTATTATTATTATTATTATTATTATTATTATTATTATTATTATTATTATTGCATTTGAAGGCTTTATAGTTAGCTTGTTTCTAAATGGAGAAAGTACGCTATCAATTAAATAAATATTGTATTGCATATTAACAAAAAATGACACTATTAGATTAAATTCGCGTAAAAATATCATTTTTTAATGCAATTCTATTTCCATTCAATTAGTAATGAAACCTTCATAGAAAATTGCAATTCTTTTTTGTAGATGGTTCAGGTTGACTTTTTTTTTGTTCAAATGACGCAAATTTTTAGAATCAATTTATTACTAAAATTTGTTCTATCTGTTCCAAAAGAACTTATGTGTCGAACAACTTCCAAGATCTTATTTGTTTTAAAATGATTTTACGCACAAATTTGTAAAGTATTAAAAAGTAAAACTTATATATTTAAAAACTACGCCAAATGTTTTACATAACAAACAATGACAAGAATATTTTATTTTATCAAATGACTAATGAAAATGTATTTGAAAGCTACAGTCACCAAAGGCTTGGAATAGTAAACAAGAAAAAAGTTTTGGGACAAAGAGAGAGCCATTTTATTATTGAGAAATATAATTTCAACAATCACGGTTCTTACGGGAAATTCAAATACAATTGATGATTCAAAATCATTAACACATCGAGATACCTTATGGAATATTAAGAAATTGTAATCTTATAAACCACTGCTAGATGGTTGTTGAAAGGAAAGTGAGTCCATCTTCAATCATAATAGCTGAAACTAATTTTTTGGAGAAAAAAGTAAACTTAATAAAGGCTAATCACAATAGTATAAAAATAGTTATTAATGACTTTGCTAGGATTTAACATGAATCTTGGAGGATAGTGTTTTAACAATTTAAGTCAGGATAAACTTTGTTATTTGTAATTACGGTGGAATTCTCATGACATTGGAACCCATTTCATAGGATGACCCGCACTTCGTAAAATATATGGTTCCTATCCTCTCCCTCAAGTAACCCCCCACCCTACCCTGACCCGAACACCCCCCACCCCTTCTCACACATTTCATCAGTTGTCAAGTAGATTTTTTTCTCATTTGCCAAAGGCACGTTTCTTTTACAGTATTAATGTACTAAGTCTATTAAACGAGCATAGATTTTAGAATCAAAGAAAAATTTGCCATATAGAGTAACCTCTTTTTCAAATAAACATTTTATTTTGCCCTAAGAGATTTTCTACTTAGTGTAGATTTAGTAAATTAATACTCCGAAAATGTGAATACAGTATAACGGTATTGATTTGGTCTCACCCAAAATAAAATATTTGACTGATCAATCTGAATAGGAGAAACAATATTATCACCTCTCAAAAGCCATAACAACAGTATAGTAAAAGGGAAGTTAACCAAATGCAAGCACACATTGAAAATTGTAGTACATCAATTGCAACAAGTTTAAGAAGCAGCCAATAGCCACAACAACAGTATGTTGGATCACTTATAAGTAACAGAAAGTCAACAACACAAATGGGTGAAAAAAGAGAGGCTAAAATTGTCATAGATTCACAATTCTGAAAAAATAAAAGTGTAGAGGTTCGAAATAAAACTTGGTACTTCAGAAGACGACGGTGTCAAGCATGGTTCCCAGAGTTTGAATGATGTTGGAAGACATCAAGTTAGAAACATGTTCTTCTAGATGCTTCTTGGCGTCTTGCCTTCCCACATTTGCAATGGCCAGCTTTTCTGGAGGCAACTCGTCCTCTTCCTGCACTGCTTTGTTATATTTGATTGCCAGGTTTAGCATTTCCTGCCACGCGACAAGTTATCATCGTAAGGACACAGGGCAAGTAGCTTTTTAAGGGTTTATAAATCATGACCAAAAACTGCCCAAAAGCAAAGGCGTAAAGGTTTCATTTTCCTTGGGGGTCTGTTTGGAACCCAGAAAATACAACAAACCTTGTAAATTCCCACAAGTAAGGTCTGGGGAGGAAGGGTGTGTGTACATACACCTTACCCCTACTATTTATTTAGTATAGAGGATGTTTCCAAAAGACCCCGGCTTAAAAATAGCAGTATAACCAAGGAAGCTACTGAAGCATGCATGAATTAGGAAAAATGACAAAAAAAGCAAACAAACTGACTCGCTAGAGCATGGGGAACTTGGAAAATGCTAGGGAAAATACTGGGTAATTTAGGGGAAATAATGGAACAGTTCATTACTTGAACAGTTTCCTCATTGGTTTTGGAGTGGGCATCAAATTGCTGAAGTGTCAACCCGTCTGTCCATTTCTTCTTGTGAAGATTCAGCAGCATCTTCTCTTCAAGTTCGTTCTTTCTGTAATTGATTGATATGGAGTAATAGTGCCGATTTAGTCCATGAATCAATGCCTGCATGATCCAAATACCCATCATATCCATAAAAAGACAATTCACCACACATTTCATTAATTAGAGCCTTCAGAGTAATATATACGGAGTATTATTTAGCACTCACTTGGATAGAGGGTTTGTTTAGATGCCCTAAGTTTGATGTTGTCTGACGTGGCTCTTGTCCAAGCATCATCGTTTGGGGGTTGATTAAACGGAAGGCATCAATCACCACCTTCCCTTTAACACTCTGTATCGGATCAACCACCACGGCAACCGCTCTTTGATTCAAAGCTTCAAAACTCTGCATTGTAATATTGTAAAGAAAAAAACTACCATACACGTTCAATAGCAAATCCTCAATAACAAAAGATGAGTTAACCTGAATAACAAGACAAAGTTTTTACACTATGTTTGGCTCAAGGAATTTGAAAGGTAAAAGAAAAGACAAAGAGAAGGAAAACAATTTCCCTTGTTTGGTCAGAGAGGAAAAGATTGGACAAAGATTCACTATTTTTTGCTTTGGGGTATGATGGAATAAAGCAAAATGATGTGCTTCTTTCAGCAGTAAAGTAGCAGTTAATGCAACTTTGGATGCTCATCATGGGTCATCCGGAAACAAACGCTCTATGTTTTAAATGTTGCGTACATCCCACCCCCTTACCTTGCAATGGGCACTAGGATAATGTTGTTGTTGTTGTTGTTCTTGTGATTATAGAAGAAAAGAGGAAAGAAAAGAAAATCAGAAGACAAAATGAAGTAAGATGAGGAAAACCAAATTCCTCCCAAAGTCGGTGAGGAAAATGAGAGAAAAACATTTTCTTTTCTTTTCCTTCCGAATCCCTTGAACCAAACATAGTGTAAAAACTTGGGATAGTTCATTTATTTATAAACTCTTGGAAACAGCCTTTCTACTCATTGAGTCATTGGAGTAGAAACAAAGTCTTCCCCCGCCAAAAAAAAACTCTTGAAATGGATATACTAGGTTTGCTTATGTATGTATCAATGTATGCATGTATAAATGTAGGTACCTGTTGAGTATTAATGTCCACACCTGATAGCCAACAGCCAAAACCAGGATGTGAATGATACCAACCAACAACCATCTCTGGCCTGCAGCACCGCAACAAAAATTCAGACCATACATGTTGCTAAAGATTAAAACCACACCAAATCCAATAACAATAGGAAATAAGAGATAATGGGACCATTTACAAATAAATTAGCAAGAGATGGTAATCCATCGAGTGTTAAAAGTTATTACGGATTCATTGTAAAAAAACAGTATTTCAGCTCAGGATCCATAACCGAGGGGCTGTTTGTTTCAGCCTCTTAATGGTTCAGATGTCTGAATGATTCAGCACTTAATGATTCAGACTGTTTGTTTCAGCCTCTTAATGGTTCAGATGTCTGAATGGTTAAGAGATTTGCCTCTGAATGGTTAAGTATTATACAAAGTCTGAATGGTTAAGACCTCTTATCTGATTTGATCAGACATTTGCCTCTGAATAGTTAAGCAATATACTAGCTCTTAATGGTTCAGACCTCTTACTGGTTCAGCACTTAATGGTTCAGACCTCTTACTGGTTCAACACTTAATGGTTCAGACCTCTTACTGGTTCAGCACTTACCTATTCAGAAGTTACCAAACAGCCCCTGAGTGTTGTATGTTTCTAGCTCATCACAATCTCCTCCCTCCCTCTCATAAAGACTTAGAATACAATAAAATTCTCTTTACCACATGTTGATGCATGCAGTTTTAAAAAGTATAATTGAATAGATAGCATATAATGCACATATTTATCTCAATCTATTGATTCTATTCACATTGCTCTCCTGCTAACATTTGCTTGTTCTAATTCTGTATATCTCAAGACTCCAAAAAATTCACATTAAACAACATTCCCGATAGAATCTCACAAAGTGTGTGTACACAGACATTACACCTTTATGAAAAGTAAAGAAGTTCTTTCAAAGAGAACCCTGGCTCAAGATACATGTGCACAACCACAAATGAAAGTAGCACAACAAAGAGACTATCAAAAATTTAATTAATATATAAATAGGCATGTCCCTCCAAAGTAACCCAACCCCACCTAGTGGGATAAAGCTTTGTTGTTGTTGTATGCCCCTCACAAAGTACTGTGTATGAAAAAGTTAGTTATGCCTCCCTAGATTCCAGAGACCTCCCTTGTCAAATTCAACAGACAAAGTTCATTCCTAAAAGTTAACCACGCCTCAGAGAACAAACATCAACAGCAGGGGCACCGCATCTTGATCTCATTATGTATTACTCCCTCCGTCCGGAAATATTCTTCTCATTTGACTTTTCTTGGTCAAAGTTTGGAAACTTTGACTATGATGTGGAAAAAATACATTGTATTACGATAAAACTTTAATATGAATATATTCATTTTGAAATATAGTTTTCAAATATCAAATTTTTATAAAATATATCCATGTATAAATAAAGATATTAGTAGTCAAAGTGCAATTTTGGAGACCGTAAAAAGTCAAATGGGAAGAATATTTCCGGACGGAGGGAGTATGATAAAACACAAACTAAGACCACAACACTTAGTCACTTACTATTGCTAAACCAACTACAGGTACAGAGTTACCCCAATTTCATTGTGGAATATCATTGTATCATAACCACACACATCATAATTAACAAACCGCAAAGAATGTAAAATGAGCGAGAGAAAAGGTTTTAACTTTGTACTCGTATCTATTTACTTTTAGAAATCATTTTCTCACAGAGCGTCTGGTACAGAAAATTTACAAAAAGAAAAATTAAAATAAAGAATCTATTACTCTCTTTTGGATCAAATTTTATTTTGCATAGTAGGCACTTCAGCCGTCTTCAGGATTTCAATAAATTTAGATACTCTAGCCAAGATAGCTGGACCAATGCAAGAATAGATAGTGAAAGAAGTAGCGTCATACCTGCCCGTTTGCTTGAGCATGTCAAGCATATTGGTCTGGAAGACATGATCTACCGCTTCAACACTCACTCCAGTCCCACTCTGTGGCATAGCAAACACATCGACCACCCGGACAGTGTACTCATCCACAAATTCCCCCAACATTAATCCCATAACTTCCATAGGAACCCCAGCTCTGCCTGTTCAATGTCAACACAAAACCCTAATTCTTATAACAAGCATAAAATGAATACGCCACAATTCGTGGACTACGCAACAACAACATTATCATCATCATCAACATGAAACCCACTAAATCCAACAGAATTGTGTCTGGGAGGTCACCTTACCCTCCTACTTGAAAACAAAGAGGCTGTAAATTCAGGCACGGACTACATTGAATATCCAAATTGAAGAAGAAAAAGAAGAAGCCCTAGGTTACCGTGTTTGAGCATCTTAAGGAGAGCCAAAGAAGAGATGTAAACTTGCTCTGATGAATCGAGAGTGGGAGAATCCGGCGGCGGTTGACCTAACCCACCCCCAGCTCCGGCCAACATACGCTGCAATCTTTCCATTCCCGACTTGGTTTCGAGATTTTTTTTTTCAGTTATCCCCTACTCTGCCACAGATAGCTGCTTTGATTTCTTCGGAAACAAGCTTTGTGTAAAGATTCAAGGTTTCCTGGATCTGGTGGCGTCTCTAGACAAAGCCGTAAAAATTAAAATGATTTTTTAACCCCAAGCCCCTCGGGATAAATTTGGAAATTTTGGATGGAAAATGCTTGCTGTATACCAAAAGTGTATCTCAAATGTTCCTCACATCCTTCTCCTTCTTGACCACAATTATAAATAAAAAAATAAATAAATTTATTTAAAAAAAATAAATAAATAAAAATCAAACAAAAATGGACGGTGGAGAAGCATGTGGTGTACATTTGGAGTACACCTTTGGTGTACCCCTAACATCTCCCAAATTGGATTTTGGTCAAAGTCTCACAAAAATCGAGTATTACCCTCTAGACGTTCTTGCCTTGTCAACTACATAATGCCTATTAGAGCTGTAAAATAAGTTAACAAAAAAGTAAAGTGTTGTGCTAAATCGCCAAATTTATTACTAGTAATTTATAAGAAATTGACAACTTTGTCTTTCATTTCATTGTTCCTTGTTTAAAGCAATAAAGGTATGCTTGTTGATTTCATACAAAAAGAGGTATATATAACCAAATGAAGAGTAGATTTAGCAATAAACAAAAGTAAATTGTAATATGAACCAATATTATTTTAAAAATGAAATGAGATATATTTATTTAGAGATGATCAAAAGAAATTCTTTTTACTAAGTTTTTTTTGCAGATGTCTTTTTTTTGAACTTCCATTTATTCGGAGGAGTACTAAAATGTTTAACATGTTCAATTTAGGGCGTCGGCATGATTGAGAAAGATGATTGATGGGATTTTTTAACGTAATTTATTCAATAGTTTATTTTTTTTTTCAGCAAAATATTCCCCATCTCAAAATAATCTTTCCTTTTTTGTTCGTCTTAGAAAAAATTATGGTTCAATTAAAAAAACTATTACCCTTATAAATTATGTGGCAACCTACGCGGACTCATTTCTTTCAAATTACACTTACATTTTTTTATAATTTATCTTTTCTTTTTGAACTTGTGATTCAGCTTAAAAATGCTGAGCATAAGCGAAAAATATTGAATTCAAAGTATGTAGGTAAAGCAGAATTGAGTCTAAGTTAAAAACAACAGTCTTAGTGTCTCATTTCATCAAACACAAAATTATACTAGTAGAATAGAAAATTACTCCGTATAAATTGTGATAATACAAAAAGTTAAAAATGAATAAATATTCTGTGTCAGATGAAATATTATTTAAAAAATCGATCTTTACCTCATGATAAATTCCTCATAAGTCATCACTATCAACAAAAGGCTCATTTACTTACTAACATAGTTAACCATCCACAAGTAACAAGAAGAAGAAAAAACAACAGTTAGTTTACACAAAGGGGGAGGGAGGGGGATACAGATATATGTAAACGTTACGCTTTCCTTAGTATATTACATTACATTCGTCCACAAACCTTACGGAGAGCAAAAAAAGAAGACTTTTTTGCGTGCGNGGTCAAGAATCAGAGAATACACAAAACTCAGCCAGGCTTGAATGGTTGGTTAAGTGGCCTTGTCCATATCCACAGTTGATGATGTATTTCTATCCCCAGTTTGGGTTTCACCAATGTGGCTCTTATTAACTACTACTGGTTGTGTGTTCTTCTCCTCATCTTTGTTTGGACCTTGATGATCCCCATGTCCATTCTCCTCTGCTGCTGCATCTTTCTTGTCTCCAGAAGCAGCATTACATTGGTTGGGCTTTTCTCTTGGGATTTCTGCAGTTTTAGAGGTGTCATGCTCGGCTGCCGGAATAGGGTTTGTGCCATTAGCCATCTTAGGGCCTGAGGTGGGAACGGTTTTTGGGTTTGTACCATTTGGTGGCACGTTGGTTGGAGAAGGTTTGGAAGGTTTGGGTCCTGAGGGGACAGTACTGCTGGGTAGGATGGTATTGCGCTGATGACCTACGGACGGTGGTGCGGGTTTCCCGGTCCGTGTGGGGTTCGGCATTGTTTTTGAATGGGACACTAAGCCGGTGCGTATGAAGTGAACATTGCTGGGCAATGTGGTTGTTCCGGGCGGTTTAACCAACGGTCCTCCTCCGCCGGGTGTTATTCGGACGGCATTCTTAGACTGTGCTGCCTTAAGCAGCGTTGCGGCATCCGAAGGGGTGGCGATGCGGGCCCCGGCAGCAACTGCAGCTGCTTTCACCATTGAATCTGGGGTAGGAGTGGCTGGCTTTGAGGGAACTCGTGGTTTGGGGGGTCCCGCCATTCCCAGCTTCTGCGCTGCTGCCATTGGGAGGTCTTGTTGAGCAGCCGCAGCAGCAGGTTTAGCATGGTTGATATTAGCAGCAGCAGCAGGTTTACCATGGTTAGTATTAGCAGCAGCAGCACCAGCAGGTTTACCATGGTTAATATTAGCAGCAGCAGCAGGTTTACCATGGTTGATATTAGCAGCAGCAGCAGGTTTACCATGGTTGATATTAGCAGCAGCATTTGACACTGCTGAAATTTGAGCAATACCAACATATAGGATCAAATTATGGGGGTTTAATGGGTAAAATGACAACTGTGACAGTGCAAAAAGTAACACAAATCACAAAACATTATAGTTAATGTGTGTAAAGAATTACCACTAGTAATTGAAGAAGCAGCTTTCAAATTATCTACCCTTGGCATGTCCAGAGCCAGAGACATGGCCCGACGAGCTGCTAATTGAGCCTCTGAAAGTTGTGAGCTGTTACCAACCGAGGGACCCTGCCGCTTCCTAATAATGGCCCACCTCTGCACAGATTATATCGAATTAAATAACAACGTACAAAAAACATTTAACTGCAGTAAATAACATGATTAAAATTAGCCTGCATCTTGATGACATTTTGCAATCATTTTTTTGGGTAATACACAACATATTCTATAGAGCACTATTCCGTTGCCGGGATTTGAACCCGGGAAACCTGGGTTAAACCCAGACATTCTAACCATACAAAATAACAACGGACATCCATGAATTAACGGTAAAAACATTCTGTTTAACATCACTCTATTGTATAATAGAGCAGCTGTTTAACATCATTCTATTGTATAATAGAATATCTGGCAAACAACAACAACAACCCAGTTGGATCCCACTACAGTAGGGTCTGGGAATAGAATATCTGGCAAACGTAAATACAAAGCAGAGTATTTGAAATGTTTTGCAAAAACAATGACCAAAGACATGTTAACTTCACCCCCAAAAAATGTGCTCTAATTCAAACTTTTTAAGATTTGTTCTGATCTAATCTTATTCAATTTGGTTTGTGAGGATATGGCCTTAATGTTTGGATTGTTCTGAATGGTTAGAAGACAAAATTCTTGTATTAATTACACTCTAATAGGATCAATGTAAATATCTAATTTTTTTTATCCATGTAGCCGACCCCTCCTAGTGTGATAAGGCTTGGTTGTTGTTGTTGTTGTTGTTGTTGTTGTTGTTAAAGAGTACTAAAAAAGAACGAAGATGTGTCCTTGTGTCTGATGAGAGTCGTGAAGGCAAAAAAGACGAGTCTAGTTTTCATGAATTAGTAAAGCAGATATACTTTGATAAGAATACTGTGGGATCATAAAGTATCTCTAATCCTCTAACCCTACAGAACAAGAAAATTTCTTTTAGACTGCCATTAGGCCAGTCTTATAAAATGGATAAGAATGTGTTACGGGCATGGTAGTCTTGTTGAGCAAGTATTCGTCTCAACAATTACTCTGTGCGGTATTGGTATTAGGTATATCAGCTAAAAAGAATCCCAATATGAATATGAATCAAATACTCTAATAACACCAAGGTTCTTTTGACAATTGGGTTGGGTGTCATAATATGATACCTAGTTCATTTGAGGGCTCTATGATGCAACATTCCACCCTAAAGTGATTCCTAACACCATAGGGCAAAACTTACTTCAGGATCATAAGGAGCACCATAGGGCCCTCAAGTTACCCGGTGTCATATTATATTATTATGACACCCATGATGGGAGTCAAAAGAATCTAATTCCACTAATAATCGCAAATGAATTCCAAACTAATATTTCTCACTTAAGAGGAAAAAAATTAAACTAGCATGAGGAAGGGTGTAGGGTAGCCACTTTGAGATCATATAGAGCACCATTGGTGCTCAAATGGACAATATGACACTGGTATTCCGTGTCAAAAGAACCGTACTCCATGATTTAACCAATTGAGAGTTCAACGGTTTCAACCGATTAGAATGGGTGACAAAACAAATGAGATGACTACGCTAGATAAGCAGAAGTGGTTTCCAACACTCCAGCCTCCTAAAAAATAAATATACACCCTTTTTTTTACTATACCAGTGCACACAAAAATACACACAAGTCAAGTGAATATATCGTTCCATCCAATAATGCAAAATTGTAAATAACGGAAAACATTGGAAAAATAGTGGACATGCCTCCCTAGCTAATTCCAAAACATTTATCATCGGAACTATATAACTTGTTCAATGAATTATCAATATCACTAATTTCTAACTATAATGACTTGCACAAGAGGAAGTTTTTATAATGTAATATTACAACAAAGAAGAGAATATAGTCTAAACAAGTACGAAGTAATACTTGTAAATCAAATACGAGCACTAAAATGCTACTTGCACAAAGTTTTGTGCCATCATCTGATATGGAATGTGACACAAGTCATTATTCTTAATACAAGTTAATTGCTCAATGCCACCAAGAGTCAGTCATATACGCTTATAAGCCACATCAGAACATAGCAGGTTTAAAGCTAATAAAATTGCATTTCCAAATAATAATATAAAACCTCCATGTACATAGGACAGACAAATATTCAGTTTTCTGGTTTGTTTATTGATTCTTGTTCAGAAAAAATAACCCCTATAGATCATAACATCATGTTTCTCCAACCTTGACCATTCACATGGGGATGAATACTTTATTACTCTGTACATCTGTTAAGCTGTCAAAATCTTAAAATTTCATAGCATTCAGATTTTAAAATAAGGACATACTTGCAGAAGTTATGTTTCTTCCTAGTGCTTTTAACATTAGGGTATTTTAAAAAATTGTTCTTCACCTTTATTTGGGCTAAAAGTCATTACATAAAATCAAAGGGTGTTGTCATCAGCATTTATGTTTTACATACAGATAATATACAATTTACATTGTTGAAATCAACAATGTTTGTGTTAAACCATGCCATATTTCCATTGAAAAAAGAAATAATTGAAGGTTCCCAAAACATAAAGAAATAAAACAAACACATCCTGTTTTGTACTGAACTATTAGGTGTAGATGTTTGTGGTGGCTGGTTCAGAAGATACTCTTTGGAAAGACGAGATGTTTATGTCAGACTTTTGAGGTTTTAATAGTAGAAAGATGTATATCAAAAGGTTTCCTCCAAAAAGCTTGAAAAACAAGATTTTGGTAATCCAACTTTTTGGAGCAAAAAAAGTTGGTCACCAAACACTTCTACTAGATGCTTGATCAATCATTTGCCTCAAAAAGCTCCTTCTTAACAAAAATTGTCCAAGAAGTTGTGTGCCAAACACACCCACACACACCTCTCGATATGAAATAATTATGAATTCTCGATAATAGAAAACCATAAAAAAGAAAGAAGAAATACAGGAATCTAATGAAAACCTGAGAAAGCTGAGAAGCTGTTCTTTCACCCTTAAAATCCCCTTTCAGAATGTTTGCCCAGTTTCCTTCACCACATTTCTGAACTGCAGCAATAAGTTCCAAGTCCTCTGCCTCAGACCATGGTTTTCTTTTACGCCGAGGAGGCAAGTTCTGATTACATGTTCCATTGGTATCTAATCCCTCTGCCGTTGTGACAATGGGAGATGGCTGTATTTGCACAGACACTGGAATTGTAATATTTGTCCCTTGCATGGAAATACTTTGGCATGAATTCTCTGAAGGGTTCCTACATGTTTGGGCAGTGGGAATGTTTATGGTCAATGGAGCCTCAACAGTTGTGCCATTTGACAAACAGGACTCACTTAGCATTCCAGAAGCAATTATGACCTGTAAAAGCCCAAGTCAAACACCAACACCATTTAGAAAAAA